CAACAACAACAAATGAAAGAACAAATGGAAATGGTTATGTGGATGCTGAATATGTATGGAAATCAACCCGATGCACCCCTCGATAATCCACCTTAGGACAATTGATAAGTATTTTGGAACAATTGAATTTGTAAACACTTGATATTGTTTGTTTGTGCTTACTTTTGTATGGTATTTTGGACAATGGAATAAAATGTGTCAAACTTGGTATTTGGGATGTTTTTTGATGTATTTTATATGGTTTTTGGGACAAATCTGAATTGAATGTGGTATTTAACAAAAAAATTGGAAGATTTTAAATTATTTTTTTTAAATAAAAACGAAGCTAGCTACGGAATAGCTACGGATTTCCGTAGCTATTCCGTAGCTATTTAGCTCCGTAGCGATTCCGTAGGAATTCCGTAGCTATTTTTTTTCGTAGCTATTCTGTAGCTATGGTAGCTACGGAATTTTCCGTAGCTATTCAGTAGCGGTTCCGTAGCTAATCCGTAGTTATAATTTAGCCACGGACCATTATGCTACATCCATTTTTCCGTAGCAATTCCGTAGCTATCCGCTTATTGCTACGGAATAGCTACGGATTGTACCGTAGCTATTAATCAAGTTTTCTAGTAGTGGGACGTCTCTATTGGTGGACAACGCCATCGTCTTCGTCGGATGAACAAATCTGGATTTCACCTTGATCGTTTAGGAAAGCTTCGATAGAGATGACAGATTTGAGGGTAATGAGTGTTTGGTGGTCAACTGAGAAGGCGGAGATGGCAGATTTGAGGGTAAGAGACGTGTCTCCGGTGGATGTGTAATTTTCCGGTGAATAAAGGTAGAGCACAATTGAGAGAAAATGGAAGTGTGGGAAGAAGATGAATAGGTCGATTCTGTGTGTGTGTATGTGTGTGTGTGTGAGAGAGAGAGAGAGAGAGAGGTATTTTAGTTTTGTTATATTTTTAATTGTTTTTTAATTATATGTAATAAAAAAAATGAAAAATTAAACAATAAGGGCAAAATCGTCTTTACAAAAAAAATTCAAACCAAATTGGACCAAACTTGTAAGGAATTGAAACTATTAGACCATCATTGCTAGTTTTGACATACCACATGGACCATTTTTGCAATTTTGTATAATTTTTCACACTAATTGATAATTTTTTTAACGTTAATGAGTTGATGATAATGCATTGAATGCAATGTTTTGATTTTATTTCGTAAATTTTTGAATTCTTTTACTTGAAAGCCTAATTGGTTGATAGCAATTTTTTAATGTATTAAATTCTAGCAGTTAAACTTTATCATGTATAATAATTACTTAAAATGTTAAGTGGTTGACAGATTACAAGAAATCCAGAATTCTCAGAACAGAGCATAAGTTAATAAATTTATATATTTCAAAAGTTTAGATATGGATATAGTGAATAAAAAATTATTTAAAATTTATCGGTGTTTCTAAAATTTGTTGTATTAGATACGTGTAATTCTATCTTTTTAGTCATCTTTCACATGTTTCATTCTTTTTTATTTAATTATAGACTTTACACGTTTTGTGTATGAGTTGTTTACTATATTTGTATTTTCTTATGTTTTTATCAGAATTTGCCTTTTATGTATAATTTATATTGTAAACATAGATACATGAGTAGAATTCATAGATCCATATTCCACAATATCGTTTCTTTGTCAATTAACATGATAATTACAAATCAAATAATGTATAAGAGACACACTCGGCGAAGTGTTAATCACTTCTGACAATATTTTCCAAAACTAGCTGGTGATAAAAAATTCAAAATTTTCTATTGAAAATCTTTATTTTTATCTGTGTAGAGTATTCTGCACAGATAATTGTCATTTAAAAAAATATATAAAATAGAAAAGATAAAAAACTCTCAAAACTATTTAGGTAACTTTTAGATTATAATTTTCTGTTTAAAATAAAAACAAGTTAAAACTTGTAGTATTAAGTAACAAATTTTTTTCTTTATGTTTAGTTATTTTAAACACAATATTAAAAGCTCTCAAAAACTCATGAAAAAAGACACTTTCAATTCTCGAAAACTCATATTTTTTAACAAAAATGTCTCAGTCATTTTATAATTAAAGTTAATTAAACACTAAAATACGTGATTATTTTATCACTATATATAGTGTTAATAATACTATAATCTAAAATTTATTCTATCACATTCACAAATCACAACTAATTTATATGCGATATCATAAAGTCATTTTGAAAATCATTCACCCAAATTAATGTGAGCAGCAACAAGAAGTTGCATACATCTTGAACACTTAAAACCTTACGCCATTTGTTTCAAATTGAAAATCGGTCGAATATTTGTCTTTCTTCAGCATATCCACGTGGCATATTCTGGTGAAGATGGAATCATGCAAAATCAGTCTATAAGTTCAGAAGAAATCCAGTCATGGATAGCACTGCTCTCTATTTTCGCGTACTCCGACAGTCCTGTCCAGACGGTGGTCGGTGCACCTATCTCCGCCTGCCGGAATGGAGAGTCTAAACTTAAAGGTCGACATGAACCCTAACAAGATACTCGACGTGGAGCCAAAAGACACCTACCAGATCGCATACATGATCCATTTCTTTCTCGGTGCCGGCTATTTAGTTCCATGGAACGCTTTCATCACCGCCGTCGACTACTTCCAGTACCTTTACCCCACCAAACACATCAACAAGGTTTTCTCCGTTGGCTACATGAGCGCCGCCGTCGCCGTGCTTCTCACCCTTCTCTGTTGGCCCAAATCATGCCGGATTCAGCTGCCGTCGGTGAGAACCAGGATGAATGTAGGTCAGGCTTTGTTTATTTCAGCTCTCATGGTGGCGCCGGTGACCGACTGGATCGATCACGGGAATCAATCCGAAATAGGATCAAATGTCGCGTTTGTGGTCCTTGTTTCAATGGTAATGGTCAGCGGCTTAGCGGACGGTCTGGTGGGCGGAAGTTTAGTCGGAGCTACCGGTGAACTCCCTGGACGCTACATGCAAGCTGTTTTCGCCGGCAATGCCACCGCCGGTATGCTATCTCATTCCTAAAATCACCCTTATCCGATTTCATTATCACTATATATATAATTCTTTGTTTTTTTGTTTTTTTTTCTTCAGGTCTTATGGTTTCAATATTGAGGGTTATTACAAAAGCTTCACTTCCCCACACTAAAAAGGGACTCCGAACAAGCACACAGATCTACTTCGTGTTCAGTGCTCTCATCGTACTCATCTGCGTCATCTGCACCAACGTGTTGGACAAACTGCCGATGATACGATACTACAGGAACAAATCCCGGAATGAAGCCACCGGACACATGGCAATCGGGACACATTTTTGGGTGGTGGTGAAGAAGATCCGGTGGTTCGTGACGGCGGGGCTTGTGATATACATAGTCTCGTTGTCGATATTCCCAGGTTACTTGAGTGAAAACGTTAGTTCCGATTATTTCAAGGATTGGTATCCTATAATTCTGATTACAACGTTTAATGTTGGTGATTTTTTGGGGAAGTGTTTGACGGCGATATATTTGCCACGGCGGAGTAAGGGGGCGATATGGTGTTGTATGGCGAGGGTGGTGTTTTACCCATTGTTTATGGGGTGTATACATGGACCCAAATGGATGGGTAGTGAAGTTCCGGTGATCGTTTTGACATTGATGCTCGGTGTGAGCAATGGGTATCTCACGAGTGTGCTTATGATTCTTGCGCCGAAGTCGGTTCCGGTGGAGGAGTCGGAGGTTGTTGGGATTGCTATGGAAACGTCTTTGGTTGTTGGGTTAGTGGTAGGATCGGCTTTTGGTTGGTTGTGGAACCTGCTTTAATTCAACCATGATTTAAATGGTTATGTGACTTATGTCATCTATAAATAAATTAGCATTTTAGTTTTTAGTTTTTTTTTTTTGTTTTTTATCTTTTGTTTTTATTAGAATTAAAGTTTATATTTTTATGTTTCTCCTAAAAATCCTTGAAAACAGTTCACAAATTTCTAATTTCAAAAATGAGTAACAATGTCATTGGGGTGTAATTGGGGTGCATAAGCTACTATAAGCTAGTTTACAAACTAAAAGTTATTTTTTTAAGATATATATATATATATATATATATATATATATATATATATATATATATATATATATATATATATATATATATATATATATAAGTTAAAAGTTAGATTTAACTTGTGATCAATATTTTACTATTTTAAGATCTTGAGTGTTAAGCAGGATAGAAGCCGTTAAGGCGATTCAAATAAACGAGATCTCGTTTAGGTAGTTTTGCAGTGTAAGAAAAATGTAATTATAATAAAATATCCAGGATATGTTATAGGTTTATTATATTTATGTAAACGAAGTACATGCTTTCATTAAATGAATGAAATGGATTTATTAATGTAGCTATGATAAAATTCAATTTGTAAATCAAAATGATTCTTTTTTTTTTTTTTTTTTTTTTTAAGTAAATTCATGCATTAAAAAATTTGTAAAAATCTGGTGACAAATTAGAAGATGGATTATGTAAGTTGATAATAAATCCATTTGGTTGAGTAATTTTATATAAATATGTAAGTTCATTCCATAAACAAATCATTAACCCATAGATAATATCATTATAATATAATATAACTCTTTCAAAAATATCATTATAATATAAGCTCGTTTCTATATATAGCCACAATCAAAACAAATGTCTTGACATCTACATGTATAGGCAAAGTTGTGGATCTTCGAGAGAACCAATAACTTTTGGTATATTTGAAGTGCACTTATATTTTGTTTTAATTTATACCTAATATACAACGATGTGGATTTTTTTAATCACTATATGCGCCCATGTGGTTTTTTTTATCTATTGTACCAATTAATGAAACAAAAAATGATTTTATATCTATCTATATTAACCATGCATATTTTCCCATATTTGTTAGTAGGCTTCGTTGAGGGCTTGAGGCCATGGTTAAAGTCATCAAAACTGAAATAGTGGGTTTATAATAGGTTCATAACATTATATAGTTATATAATATAATATTTTAAAACATGGAAAAAAATTGTTATGTACATATCAACTTCCTTTCAAATAACTTGAGCTACACACCACAATAGTTAGCCCATATCTAACATAAGGGACGTATGATTTCATGGTAACTAATTCCATAAAGTTTCTCATAGGAATCCCTATTGTCTGCTAAGGTTGTACAATGATGGGGAAGAATTCAGGTGAGAAAGATGAAGATAGGAGAGAGAAACATGATCGATGATTAAAAAAGAAAATAGAAAAAATTAATTACATGTTCTGATACCATGCAATGAATTTTCTCATGATATTCATTCACAATTTCATATTTCTCAATATAAATGGAACAATATACTAACGTACTAATTATGTGTTGGGCCATGTATATTAATGAGCATACATAATTACATAAACACATGAACACTAAGGTCGTACAATATATATATATATATATATATATATATATATATATATATATATATATATATATATATATATATATATATATATATATATATATCCTTTTCTACACTAGTAAATTTGATCAAATATATAAGTATTTATTGTATAAATAGGTCATTAACCCATATATTACTGTAGAAGTGTGCTTCTAAACATACAGTAGACATGGAGGTTAAGGTAGCATACGGAAGAGTAATAATCTAGACTACAACCACAAGCATAACAACTGTCTATACATCCATTATATCCAACAAAGTTATATCCAATAAAATACATTGGTTATATTCAACAAGATGAAGAAACTATGATTAAAAACTACATTCATCTAATAACTCATGTCTAACAAGCTGTTGAATGAAATAAAGGATTATAATCTACAAGGAAATTACTTTAGGCTTTATTTTGTACATTTGTATGCATGTATCAACACAATGCAAATTGCATCTTAGCAAGAATTCTAAGATAAACATGTTTAACCTAAAGTTTTCCTTGTTTTATTAACTTATGTAATCAACAATTAAGTTATATTACTTGATCTTAAATATTCATTTTTAATGTTTACGAATTATGGAGATCTTGTTGGTTATACATTCCATTGCTATTCAGCACATGTTTCAATGCATATACTCACACAACACATACGTACATGCCTCCCAAAAACTGAATCCATGTTGCACAGTTTACTGTTTGATTGTTATTGAAAATCTATAACTAATTACCATCTCAAATCTTTGCAATATTTTATAGATAGAACTGAAAATGCCTTTTCTTTTCTCACTATGCATATCTTCTGACTTATTAAAGATGCATGTACTCCCATGGATTATGCATATCTCTTCTTATGAGTTTAGATGTTACATTGATGATTATTTTTTGTAAAGTTATCTAGATACTAGAAACCGTTTCCGTATGAATTAGCTTGTTCCGTATGTTTAATTTAGTAAGCAAATGTTTCACTAGAACTTTTGATCCATATCATTACACCATATCGCATCTGTAGCATACCGTATAAAACAAAACAAACAAAATCAAATAAGTAAGAAAATAAATGAATAAATAAATAAATGAGAAGCTCTCAAACCCCCAAGATGTATTTTTATATTTTTATTTATAGTTATATTTTATATTGGCCCTAAATCTATAAAAAATTATTAGTGTATTAACGCAAGTAGTTAAATGTAATAAATTATGAAAATGAGGGAGTTAAAAGTAGTATTTTTGGACAATGGAGGTTAAAGTGTAACTTCCAGACTAGTTATGAATAGATTTTTGGATGTTAGGGGCTGATTAGTAATTTTTGGAGTTGTGTTGAAAGGATTTTTAGAGTCAGAGGGCTAGATTGTAAATATTGAACTTGAATTGAAAAGAATTGGGGGGGGGGGGGGGGTGAGGGTCGAAAATGTAAATATGTATGTGTGTGTGTGTGTGTGCGTTTCCTTTAGATGCATCTCATGGCATTGACTATGTTGCTTTACTGTAATAATCTATTGGATTGTATGTGTGTGTGTATATATATATATATATATATATATATATATATGTGTGTGTGTGTGTGTGTGTGTGTGTGTGTGTGCGCTTGCTGGTAATCATCTATGGAGTGCCCTTAGGGATTGTCTGTGATCATTAAGGATACCCTGAGAACTCTTGGTCTAGACTCTCTTGCCTGTTCCTTGTTTGGTTGTGACTCTAGAGTAGGACCATTTGTTCGGGTGGCTACCCCATCTCTGGTTACATGTGGTTACACATTCTATGGGGGTTAGTTGGTAGTGGAACCATATATTGTGAGAGGACTAGTAGGCAGTAGTGAGTCTTCTCATTATACTAATAGGTCGAAGCCACCAATGCCAGCCCACTACTTGATACGTGGTCTTAATAGTTGATATGCGATAGTGCTTGCTAGTTAGCATGTAATGACTTATGTGAAGACCAGGGGGAGGGAGCCTGTCACACCCCCAAACCTAGGATGGCGGAAACGTCCGGGGGTAGAGGACTTCATGTATAGTATCATAACCACAATTGCAATAATAATTTAAGCAAACACAACCAACACATATATAATTGAAAGAGTTACGTCATTGTATGAATTACATGTTTCCAAATCAATTACAATATGTTATCAAAATATGAAATGTTGACGCCTTAAAGTCTCATCCTCAAAATGCACTTGGTTACCTGTTTAGTGATTTCCTGAAAATACAAGTTGTTTGAAAAAGTGTCAACACAAAGGTTGGTGAGTTCATAAGTGTTTGTTTTTAAACTTGATAAAAGTCTTTCTCTTGTAAATGTCATGTTTGTTCCAGAAAAATCCGATATTTTCCTTAAAATGTGTAATGTAGTCTTATATCCAAAGAAAGAAATGTATAAGTAACTTTTCTTACTTATAGAAAATAATGTAAGTTTAAATCGATATGAACACGTTTGAATGCAATGAAATTCCTGTAAATTCTTATGTTTGTTAATACTTTCTATGAGTTATTATAACCATGCTATGACCTAGTTGGCCTGAAACGACGTTCTTCAGGCGTCGGAAATGTGTATGACATTTGTCACCCCAGACCTACCGGTCTAACTGTTGCATGCAGTTAAGGTGTGGGTTTGTCAAACCCAATATAGATCTATATACAACTATCATGCTCTCCCTCTAGGAGACTCTAGTTACAATACAAGACTTATTGGTAAATGTGAAGCGAATGTCTCACAAAGTCATTAACGAATTTACATGTAATGTAATTAAAATCCCTTTTCGTATAAATGTACCCTTTTTGTGTGAGTGTGTTATGCAACATATCATAAACTATACCTATTATAGTTTATCAAAACAACGGTAGTAGTGGTAATGTACGTAAACTATATTTAACATAGTTTATTCAAATGTTTGTATGAAATGGATGTACTTTGATTATAACAATTTTGTTATCCTTTATATTTCATATATCAAAATCAATTTATTAACTGATGCATGTCTATATACCAAGACAAAATGTCATTTATTTGCAATAACATACATTCACATAAATATATACACCTTGGTCAACATGTTACAAGGTGAAATGAAATTGTTAGCATTTTTCTGTTATTGACAGTTTCTATTACTGTTCTTAGAAAATTCATAATAGATCCAAATCAAAATCCGTAAATTCTGCGAGTTTAGAAAATGATTTTAGTTTGTTAATAAATTTTCCGATGATTTTTAGTGACCTCCAACTTAGGTGAAAACATCCATAAACACAGACTGGTCCGGATTGGTTCTTGAAATGATAAACAGTTTTGTAAAAATCACTATAAATTGTAGAAAAATCATATGGAGATGTGAAAGTATTCATTTTAAAGCTAAGAACTTGAACTACTTGCACCTTGTAAAGTTTTAAAAACTAAAATGTTTTAGTTGACCAAAACAGTTTGTGAATGGAGTCCAACTTTTCTGATGAAAGCTGTTAGAAGCATTTAGTTGTGTTCT